ACCCGGGGGGGCGCGTTTGTGCGCGGTAAAGGCATCGCAGTATTGGAACTGGCTCGGGGGAGAGGCCGCTCGGCTGCTTCTTGGGCTGCAAAGCGGGAAGCTTCTGCCGAGGGGGGCGTTTTCCTTCGTCCCGTTTGCAAAACGGGGCACAACCGTCCGGCGGTGCGAAAGCCGCGGGACGTGGCCTCCCGATCGATTCAAAAACATTTCGTGCAAATGCAAAAGAGGCCCAGAAACAAGAGGCAGCTTTATGGCGCGGGCGCCTACATCCTTGTGGACCCCGTTTTCATTGGTTGTGAATTTTTGGAATTGTTTTGGATGGGGCGGGGCAATTTCGCTCTTTTCTCTTCTGCTGCTTTTCTCCTGAGAAAAATCCATTGGTTTCTGTGTGGGGAGGAAACCCATCTTTAATGTAATGCTGAGGTCAGATTATTTCGTTACTGTATTTTAACTTTCGAACTATTTTCCTTAAAAAACTGTTTAAATGGGTTGGAAATTATTTCAGTAATATAAATTATGTGATAAAGGAATATCTGGTAAAAGCCTCAGCTTCCTTAGCCGTTTTGAAACAGCAGTACATCTTTTTCTAGACCAATTAAGGCAGTCCTGGCATACCTACTTCATTTGAGACAAAGATAAAAGATTTGGAGTATAAATTAGAATTAATGGACCTCACTGGATAATTAGTTCCAAAGTGGTCTGTCAAAAAGTCTTTGTATGCTTCTGGTTTTCCTGTTCTACAGTATTAAATGCTCCCCTTAAGGCAAGGCAGCATCTCATTTTTGAGCATTTCTAACCTTAAGAAGTAGTATAACTCGGATTAGTATATAATGTTTGGAATCCAAAGAGTAATTTTGAATGAAGCTTTGAGATTTCTGCTGCCAGAAATTTATATTTTTCTCTTCCAAAAATAGTAAATACTGTTTTATTTTTGCCAATATGGCAGATAAGGCTTTCATATTTTCAGTTAGAAATATATTAAGTTATTTGAACCTCATTTTTAAAACTTCCTTCAGTTTCTGGATGACAGATTTAATAGTGCATGCTACTGGTCAGATTTATTATTTCAGTACATGCCTCTATCCTTGCATCTTCAGTAATACAATATACAGCAAAAAGGAGTGTGGCATTATTGAATTTCCTTCATTTTTTCTTTTTCAGAATCCTTTGGGCAGAACTATCCAGAGGTATATATGTGTTTATATTTACTAATGTATAACGCTTTTGTAATATCATTTGGTTTGTGACTATTTTGCTGAAATAGTAATGAGAATTATTGGTATATGCTCAGACACATGAAATAGATTATGTGTGTCTTAAATTTTCAACTTCTGTTTGTAGTTACATGAATATTGTGGCAATTTATTTATTTGCATGAGATATTTCATGGGGTAAATTAACATGGTCATGTAACCTACACATGAAACCTCTCCATTGTTTCTATCCCTTTTTTGTTTTCAGGAAGCTGATGGCACATTGGACTGTATTAGTATGGCTCTTACATGTACTTTTAACAGATGGGGCACTCTTCTAGCAGTGGGTTGTAATGATGGCCGAATTGTCATTTGGGATTTCTTGACAAGGGGCATTGCAAAAATAATAAGTGCCCATATTCACCCAGTTTGTTCATTATGGTAAGGAATTATCCTAATACAAGTTGAATTTGATTTGTGGATGATATGCCTGCAGTTGAGGTCAGAAACAGAAGAATTCTGCATGCATTTATTGTACCATTTTCACACATTTAAACTTGGGACATTTCATTAGAATATGAATGCTGTTTTTATTACTGGAAACTATAGTTCAGAGATGTGGCTAGAAGACAGCTTTGCATACAACTCAAAACTTTGTACAAAGTTTACATCAGCAGCTATAGCAGAAAATGGAATTAGGCTGAAGTGTCCAGTAATTTGGATAGTGAAAGCTGTTCCAATAAAATTTTCAATTACAATTTCAGCTGCAATTTGATTCTCAAACACATATGCACTCAACTTGTTTTGATACTAGCTAATAGGTGAGATATAAAGGTGTGTTAACGTTTCAGTATGTGATTTTCCGTTGGACTTAACATGGAATTCGATTCTTTAATTTTTTTTTTTTTAGTTGGAAAATCAAATTTAAGATTGGAGTGCTGCAGAAAACTTGTCAGCATGACATTTGATTTTTGAGGGGGAGGGATGAGGGTTGTAGTCAGAGGCTATCTAGATCTTTCTCTTTCAGTTGGAGTCGAGATGGTCACAAATTAGTGAGTGCATCAACTGATAATATGGTATCTCAGTGGGATGTTTTGACTGGTGATTGTGATCAGAGATTTCGTTTTCCTTCTCCTATCCTGAAAGTCCAGTATCATCCCCGTGATCAGTAAGTAATATTGACAACTTTTTTTTAACAGTGTAGAACTCTGAATAATTTCTTGAAAGTATATGCTAATTGTAATAACTTTTCATGGGTTGTAGTAGTCAAACAGTTTTTTACTATGTTTAGACAACTTTAATTGGCTAGGTTGGGCATTCAGCAGAGCTTAGCGTTATCACCAATGCAGATAGAGATTGGCTTCATGAATAGGAACTATTATATGAAAAACTGGGTCAGTGCCATCAACAGGTTGACAGCATTGAGATATAAGGTTCTCAGAATTCAGTATTGCTTTCAGGAACATGCATAATACATGTTAGATGATACAGAAAGATCTTGCCTTTCATCCCGACAATCAATAGCTGTGCTTCTCTTGGTCCTGATTCTTGACATTATTCTAAACTTTGTATGGAATTTTCCAAGGAAGCATTTCCATATGTATTTATATATGCAAAGGCTCTGAATCTGGCAGTTCAAGGAGTTATGAGGTTCCCCCCAAGATCCAGATGGCCCCCATTCTGCTGTTGTTTAGAAGAGCCATGAAAGCCTGGCTCTTCTTCACCCAGGCCATTGGTGAGAGAAAGTGAGACCCCTTGCTTCATTCCACCTGGTCTGTCATGCTTGCCATGTTTTATCTTTATGTTTTATTGATTCTGTTGGTTTTGTTGTTGTTGTTTGATTGTTGTGAGCCGCCCAGAGTTGTTGAGAGTCAGGCAACATACAAGTTGAATAATTTCTTTAAATTATTATTATACATAACAGTGTGAAATCACAGCTGCCAGTTCTTTAGCTGGTATTGGCCTTCATTCACGGTGATTTCTTCCCAAGAAGCTAGGATGTCTGGATCCTTTTCAGTCAGGATTCAGACCTGGGTATGGAACAGGGTGGTGGTAGTGCATCCATCCTTCCCTTACTTGACCTCCCTGCAGTTTTCAATACCATCGACCATGGTATCCTGGATCGACTCAGAGGATTGGGGGTGGGTGGCACGGTGTTGTGCTGGTTCATCTCCTTTCTCCAGGGTTGATTCTAGTTGATGGTGCCAGGGGAGAAGAGATCCCGCCCTTGACCAGTACTGTATGGGATGCCACCAGGGTTGGTGCTCTCTCCTCTCCTATACAACAACTGCATGAGACTGCTGGGTGAGCTCATCTGACTACATCTGCCCATCCCACGAGATCCTGCAGAGAGGGCATGTTATGGGCTCATTGAGGGAGCTACATTTGATGGGCCCTAGACAGTGGACCTTTTCTGCTGTGGTACCCATGTTGTGGAATATTCTCTGCCCTGAGGTGAGGTTGACTCTATAACTTCTGATCTTTGGTATGTCCCTCAAGACCTGGTTGTGCCATAAGGCCTGGGGACCCCAGGGGACTGGTAACTAGTGAGGTGGCTCCATTACTATTAACATTCATTTGCCTACTGTTTCTTTGTCTTAGCTTTGTTATTTATAGGTTTTTTAAAATTAATTAATTAATTTATTTATTTATTATTAAATTTGTATGCCGTCCATCTCCCCCTAGCGGGTGACTCTG